GCTAGGCCTTGTCAGTTGCTTAAAGACCGCTTTTCGTAGGAAAGGACATCGTTCAAAGGCTTCTCAGGGGCGCAGAATTTTTTGATGACCTGCATGTTCGGCGCAGAATTTTTTGATGACCTGCATGTTCATCTTTCATGTCTGAGGCACTTATCGTGCCCTAGTATTCTATTTGATATCATCCCATATTTCTGTTCGGGAAGTCGTCTGCAGAACTCAAATACCAAACAAGAAAATAGTACAGCATGCGGAGCCAACTAACTAGGAGGTAGTCTGTTTCCGTCGCGCAACGTGGATCTCCCGACCCGCACCTTATTTTCACTTTGAAGGCTCTTATCTGCGCCACGCTACATTTCATAGGTTCAGTTAAACTCACTGTACAGTTGGTACAGAAAGGAAGAACTTTTTCATTGCAATTTCATGAAACAGTCGCCCTTCAAAGAAAACTTCCATCAGAGCCGAGTGGTAGTCAAGTATCGTACTCGGGATGTAGTATCTGAAATGCCAGAACAAAGTTTTAGTTTAGTATAGTTGACTGCTACAATTTCGAATATTTTACGAAACATAATTTTGCGGCGCTGTTTGGGCCAGAAGGAACTTTGCATTCCAGCTGGTTCCTTTTCTCAGTTTATATCAACAGAGAGTAAGCATTTTGCCTATGGCTCAATGACGTTGTAAAAAGCAGCGACTGAAACCTATTGAGTATGCGCTACATAAGTAATGTACCCCAGGCAGGAGGTGATGTAAAGACAGGAGGCGTCACTAACAGCACGTGCAGCCCTGGGGTTGAATAATGTCGGCTTTTTTCATCTCAGCTCCGCTTCCGTACGTTCGTTGGTTGCGGCTCCCCCGCTTCCTCCCTTTTGTCAATCTCTACCCCTGCTTGCACCCCTTGACGGGTCTCGATTCAAGTGGAGGTAGAATGTGAGGCGCATCTTAGAGGGGGGATGATCGACGGCGAAAGCCGATCCTCCAGGGCACTTGAATCACGCTTTTTCTCATTATATGTGGTAGGAGTGCAAGTATCATTGATAAGACTCACAGATCGCTCACAGTCCAGCCGTTCTCCGTCGTCAGCGCAGTAGAAGCGTTGTGGTTAGAGCCCATTGCTTTTCGAAGCTAAACCGGCAAGAGTTGGCACATGAAGTTCATAGTCTAATACCACTAGTAGAACTTCCTCAAAGGCACATTTCTTGGTTGACCTACTCGAAGTGTGTTGGCGGGTAGTAGCAGTTCCAGAACTCTTAATCATCACCCACTAGATATAATTTGCTACGTCTGTTTATTTGTTTGTTTGTTTGTCTGGGAATTCGGTTCGACCTGAAGAACAACTTGGAGAGGTCGGATCAAGGTGTGGATGAGTGGGGCGTGGCACCAAATGTAAAAAGCACACATTCTATGCGAAGTCCCGCCCACAATGGGTGGGGCATGCGCCGAAAGTGGCGTTGCCGCAGAAAAAACTCATAACTCGCTTCCAAAGGAGCCCAGAGATGGGAAAAATGGAATAAGGTTGGCAAGGGGTTGTCAGACTAATTAGTATAGACATACCCAAAATTTGCGGGGCGTACTTGAAATAGGCGGCGCTTCCCACAAAATCCATTACTCGGTTTCCAAAAGAGTTTAGAGAACGCAAAAAGTATCGATGTAGGGGGCAACACCTGGGGAGATTTTGGAATGCCTGAGGTGTGTGGAGGCCCATCCACAGTGGGCTGAGGTTGCCCTCAATCATAATATGCCCATTTCAAAGTTTGTAGCTTGGTTTCATAGCACTCCTGTTACTGGAAAAAAGTGGATTGAGGTCGGCAAAGGGTTGCCGGTGAAAATTGAGGGGCACACACGTTGTGGGAGGAGCCTGTCCCGTGGTGGGCTGAGCCTAACAAGAAAAAGCTCCGTAAAATGCCTCCAGAGCACTCCAAAGACCGGATAAAAATGGATCACGGTCAGAAAAGGGTCGCCTATGGGCACACACTTTCTGGGCGGAGACTGCTCTGAGGTGTGCGGAGCCGGGGAGGGTCTGCAAGCCAGAGTAGTTCTGCAAAACTTCCAGAGCACTCGAGAGACAGGAAAAAAGTAGATCAAAGTAGATCAAGTCCAGCAAATAGTCGGCGGTGAGAAATATGGGACACACACGTTGTGTGCGAAGCCTGCCTGTGGTGGGCGGAGCCCGACAAAAAAATAATCTGAAACGGTTCTAGAACACTCCAAAGACTGGAAAAAAATGGGCTAAGGTCAGCAAAGGATCGTCGGTTGAGAAATGTGAAGCACATGTTGTGAGCGAAGCCTGCCCCGATGTGGGCGGAGACAGGCAGAACCTTGTAAATGTTCCAGAGCACTCCAGATATTGCTCAAGCGAAACAGTGGTCAGGAGGGTCGATGCGGGTCAAATCCGTTGTACGCGGAGCGTGCAGCGAGATAGGCGGAGCCAAACTTAAAAATTTGTGGAACGGTTCCAGAGCACTTCAGACACTGAGGAAAAAGTGAAGAGGAGTCACCGCTTTGGGAGTGCAAGACACCTCCACTGTGGGCAGAGCGTGCGGCGAGCTGGGCGTAGCCAAACGCAGAATTCTGTAAAATGGTTTTACGACAGACTCCGGCAAAAGGCAAGCAAAGGCGTGCAGGAGCTCCGATTTACGCGCCCACTGTGTGCGGAGCTGTGTCGATGTGGGCGGGCAAAGGTCAAAAATTCACGACTCAGTTGCAGAGCAGCATAGGCACCGGGGACAAGTGGGTTGAGGTCCACAAGGGGTTAGCGGACGAAATGGGGAGACATCCCGAAAATGGGCGGCTACTTCCGAGATGGGCGGTGCTTGCTGCAAAATTTCGTGGTTCGGATCTGAATGAGCTTGGAGATCAGGAAAAACTTTTGGAAAAGAGAAACATGTAGCGAGAGTTGAGTATGTCTGTGGTGTGTTGAGCCCACAGTGGTGGAGCGTGTTCTCAAGCATGAGGTACCTAATTTCACTGCGTTTTAGTGCATAGGCCGTCATACTCTTGAACACCTGTCGTCACAGGTACATTTGATTCCAGTCGATTCCCTGGCTGACACCAGCGCTACTCTCTGATACGGCCAGGTTTTGCCGGTTTTGCTTGGCTTCGTTGCGCCTAACTGCTTCCGTATGTTTAAATGCTCAACTAGTAGCCGACTTTTCTCTCATCTTCGCACTTAATAAACACTGTCAGGAGCTTGATTTAGCTCGACACCAAGATTGTTAAGAAGTCTTTATTCGGCTGACGTTTCGGCGTCGTCGCCGTCTTCAGAGCCTGGAAAGCCGGAAGACATTTTCGAAACTACTCATCCAACAATACATACTATTTCAAGCTATAGGAAGAGGTTAATAAACACTGCATAAAACATTTCATATACCTTAATAGTGTTGAAAGAAGCAGGTATGATGTTATTGGTCAAGGGAGTGTTGACAATGTGTACAGGTGAAAGAAAGGCCGGAATAACTGTTGAGCATCCAAACATGTGAAAGAAGGTACGCGTGGCGAAGCCGCGCCATCCTGGCGAAGGCGGGCAGTGTCACAAAAGGGGGCACGCCGGGGTCAGCCGGTGAGCCGACTGGTCACCCCATATATATAATTCGCTTTGTCTGTTTGTTTGTTTGTTTGTTTGTTTGTAAGTTTGTCTGTCCGGAAATTCGGTTCGACCTGAAGAACGACTTGGAGAGGTCCAGTTCGAAGGCCCACAGTGGGCGGGGCACTCGCCGAAAGTTTGGGGTTCCGCAGAAAAATGTTCATAATTCGCTTCCGGAGCAGCTTAAAGATGGGGAAAAAAGGGACTAAGGTTAGTAAGGAGTCGCCAGACTAACTGTGGCAGGTACACCCTAAATGGGCGGGGCGTACTCAAGGTGGGCGGTGCTTCTCGCAAAATTCAGTAACCCGGTTCGCGAGAGTGTTTGGAAGTCGCAAAAAACTCAGTGTAGAATGTAAATATCCGGCGAATATAGGGCACGCTCAAAGTGTGTTGAGACCCGCCCACAGTGGGCGGAGCTTGCCCTAAATCGCAGGGTACTCATTTTTAAAGTTTGTAGCTCGGTTCCAGAGCATTGCAAAGACCGGAAAAACGTGCACCAAGGTCGGCAAAGGGTCGCCGGTGAGGACTGTGGGGCACGAGCATGTGGGCGGGGCCTGCTACCGCTTGGGCGGAGTCAGACGAAGAATCTGTAAAATAGTTCCAGAGCACTCCAGACACGGAAAAAAGTGGTTTAAGGTCAGCAGAGAGTCGCCGATTGAGAAATGTGTGGTATACATATTGTGGGCGGGGCCAGCCCGAGGTGGGCGGAGCCAGACGAAAATTCTCTAAAACTGTCCCAGAGCACTTCAAAGACCGGAAAAAACGTGGATTAAGGTCAGCAGAGGGTCGCCGGTGAGGATTGTGGGGCAAAAACATTGTGGGCGGAGCCTGCTCCGAGGTGGGCGGAGCCAGACAAAAAGGTCTGTAAAACGGTTCCAGAGCACTCCGAAGACCGGAATAAAGTGAATTCAGGTCAGCAAGGGGTCGCCGATTGAGAAATGTGGGGTATACATATTGTGGGCGGGGCCAGCCCGAGGTGGGCGGAGCCAGACGAAAATTCTCTAAAACTGTCCCAGAGCACTTCAAAGACCGGAAAAAACGTGGATTAAGGTCAGCAGAGGGTCGCCGGTGAGGACTGTGGGGCACAAAAATTGGGGGCGGAGCCTGCTTCGAGGTGGGCGGAGTCAGACAAAAGATCTGCAGAAACGGTCCCAGAGCACTCAGACACCGGAAAAAAGTGGAGTACAGAACAAAAGGCGGATATCAGTTGAGTCTAGAAATATGTGAAAGAAATACGCGCGGCGAAGCCGCGCCCGCCCGGCGCAGCCGGGCCGTATCAGAAGGAGCCGCGCCGGCGTCAGCCGGCGAATCGACTGGTATAATATAGGTGGCATTTAGGCACATTAATTCTTCACGAACGTATCATGTCTGTACTTGCAATTTTGCGGCTGAACCCTTCATCCTACTTTCGCAAAATGTGCCTTTAAGTTGGACTTTCCGGACTTAAACCCACTCCTTCCCCAAGACGTATCCAAGCTGACTGCAACTGAGTGTCGTTCTTATACTTTGCTTCGAACAGACTTACTACATTCTTTGCGGCCTTCAAACCTGAACTAGATTAAATAATCACGACGATCTGGTCCTCTGAACGTTGTAAGACGTTAAGGCTGTGAATGGACGTGAGAGAGGTTTTCAAACTGACCCACATCAAGTTTATACCAACCGCCTTTCTCGTTCTCACTATCCCCTGCTTGAAAAGCGACTGATAGCTCAATTTCGTTCCAGAAGTTGAAGGTGGTGTCGTCGGCCATCACGAAGTATCCTTAAATATACATTTGACTGATAATCTTGCGGGAAGCAGGACCTTGTATGCAAGCCTGGGACGACCGCAATGGAGAGAGCCCCATTCTCTACAAAATTGTGAACCCAAAAGGAACAGAATTCCTCGGTACCTTGACCTGCTTCAGGTACAGTACTTTCTTCCTCCTCAGGGTAGTTTCAGTTTTATGTTGCTAGTAAGACCTTGAGCTGAGAGTCGTCTCGCATCCACCGCGATCGACGGTTTGGGGCGCAAAAGGGCAAGATGTACGCGGTAGTGCTGATGCCTGCAATGCTGTACGGCAGAGAGCCTCTAGGCTCGCGATAGGCACTACACTGCTGGAGTGAGCAGGCTGAAATGGGCCTATGGTTGGACTCGACAAGTGTATGAAGCGAGGATGAGGGAAGGTCATGCAGGCGACGATAACAACGAGAAGTCCCATAGAAAATGTGGGAGAAACAATCTCAAGAAGGGCTCGACTGAAGAGTGGGAAGTTGACAAATAGATGCCTCAGATAGGCGAAAGCGACGTCTTGCTAAGCTCACAGGCTGTGCGACGGCGGGAAGGTTGCTTTGAGGAGAAGAAGAACAAGATTCAGTGTGCTTGCTGTTGAAGTTAGGGTACCAGCAAGCATCCCGATCTGGTATATTTACCCCAAGCACGGCGCCACGCAGTACCTTTTGCTTCATTCACAACCGCAACTTTTCTTCGCGCATTCCTCCAACAAGAAGCACATCTAGTGATCGCAGACATTCCTCCACTCTATCGATTTTAAGGTGAGTGCCAAGGTAGCTGGGACAGTCATTTTCTGTACGACAGTTGTAAGGACACGGCACGGAAGGTTCTAAGTGATATTTTTCTTCTCTTCCTTTCCCCGGCAGCGGCGGCCCTACTCAAAAGTAATTGCCGCAGACGCCGCGTTACTCTCTGCCGATTCACTCGTTCTTCCATTCTCTCATTCTTCTCTGGTCTCTCGCCCACGGCAGAAGCATCTCTTGACCCTTTGCTTCTGTTCCCCTCTGAAGTCACTATAGGAATTCATTGTTACGCTGAAGATGCACCTACACACTCATCTTTAGACGCATTACCCACGACTCACAGTTGCGGATGTTTTTCCAGAGTATGTTGCGGAAGCTCCTAACCATAAGTGATACTGAGCATATCTGTTTAAGCAAGAGAGCAAGTAGACTTCAGAGACTCAGATCCATGAAGAGTCGACGCATCGCAGCACTGGCAGTTGATGGATTGGGTCGTAGTGCGACTACAGCGCTTATCGTGTCGTTTGCACCTCCGTCACCTCACCTGTTTGACGACCCACGCCGAAACTCGGGACTAATGCTCCACCATCCCTCTCCAAGACGTCGCATGGAACACCTTCATCAACTAGCTGGGAAATGTTACTTTAGCCCTCCTTACCATTGATATTTTCCAATCGTAGATCATTGACTTTTGATAGGCAGTAGTATGCGTAGAGTCCTCCGCCAATTTCATCTTTTGATAAGTGAATATAATTGAAGGGACGAAGCATCCTCGGAAATACTCCTGAATTGAAAGGATAAACCTTCAGGAGGTAGGTATTACATATGAACCTTTACTTGGAGGAACTCATAATTATCATGCTCGCAGCACTGTCTCTTCCTTTTCCTCAGCACTGTTCCTCCTCTATACCGCACCGGAAGAGGAGTTGCAAGAGCGCGATGGAGACGTCTCTGACCCCACTTCTCTTCCCATCCTTTTTTAACGGTATGAACATTTGATTGGCTTTAGAAAAGCTTTCTTTTTTTGAGCTGCGAAAATGTACGTTACTTATTCCTCTCACATTCTGAGAATCGATCCATAGAAGTTACACCCAAAAATCTGAATAAAATTCCAATTCAAACTTGTGTATAAAGTCAGTCATGTCGAAGTGCTTTTTTCGCGTTTTTTTTCTTGCAAATGACAATAACAATTTAACGAGCACTAGACATGGTGGTTTTAACCTTCATTATCCTTACATATGTCCCAAAAATTATTCCTTAATGTTCAACATAATTTTCAATCGTTGCGCGAGATGGTTTGAGCTTCTGCCACCTCACGTTCTCCAAGCGCCTGATAGCAAGGCTTTCAAAAGTAGGCTAAGTAAGCTCGACCTCTTGCGCACTTTGAAAATTCCTGAATTAGTTTGATTCTCTCTTCCTTTTTTCGTTTCCAGTCGCAGCACTACTTACTTGGTCGATATGGTTTTTTCCTGTGAACACCTTGTGCCGAACGAACGACAAAGCCTTAGGCTCAGTGGTATACGATGGCTTTCCCACCTGTTTGGAGGACTAGTTAGTCCTTACTCTGGGGACTCTTTATGGTTCCGTACCCATACAGATTTAGACTTCATGTTATTTGGCTATTTTTGAGACCCATTTCTTCTTTACTGGTTTTGAGCATAAACTTTGGGAGCAATAAGCCGAGTAGTTGTGAGTTAATTCTTTCGAAAATCGTGGGCTTCAGCTGTGAAGGTCAGTCGTTTGAGGAACCCGAAGGATGATGAACCCGCTCGCTTGAGGTCCCCCTTGGTTTGTTCGCCTGGGGTCCCGGACGAATTCGTTCGTAACGGGTTAAGTTGTCAGCAAGCCCCAGTACTGTTGTCACCTCTCTGCGTTCTGGACCAAGGACCAGGATCTCGTGGGTGGCCCTTACATCTACTTGGAGGGGAAAATGACATTGTCATTCTGTCAAGTCTCGGTTCTTATTTCCTTATAACTTCGACTCACAGCCTATTCCTTCGCTCTTGTTCCCAGTGTTTCGTTTCCTATGTTTGTGTTTTGTTTTGATTTTGTTTTCTTTTCAAATCTTCACTGTGCGATTTGCGTATTTCAAATTTTTTTCCTGCGTCTGTGGCACACCCTCGGGTGTATTCAAATAATAATAATAATAATAATAATAATAATAATAATAACTGTTTTGTTATGATAACTGCTGTTTAACGCCGCAGTACGCGTTCCGAATGTTATCACAAGAATGCTGAGTTGTGGGCAAGTCGTGCCCCAGGCGGGAGTCGAACCCGCACCTCACGCTTTCCGGGCGAGTGCGCTATCCGTTACGCCACCAGGGCCGCTTTTATGATTCAGCTTTCTTGTGATAACATTCGGAACGCGTACTGCGGCGTTAAACAGCAGTTATCATAACAAAACAGCTTCAAAAACTTGTAAAGCCTTCGGCCTTGCGGTTCCATGCCGATATCTAACGATTACGGCTGACCGGCTCACCAAGTTAAACGTGTGAGTGCTGTAAGGCTACGGCATAAAAGCCGTTAAGCTGAGAGGGTAAAAGCGGCCCTGGTGGCGTAACGGATAGCGCACTCGCCCGGAAAGCGTGAGGTTCGACTCCCGCCTGGGGCACGACTTTTGCCCACATGTCAGCATTTTTGTGATAATGATAATAACAATAACATTGAACGAACTGTTAGTATCGTCGTAGAGATGCGGAAGCCATGTACCGCAGAAAATCGTCAAAGCAAAATATGGCTGATACAGTCGTTGAAGTAGCCCAATGGTCCTGTTCAGCGGGTAGTTGCATGTTATCACCAGGACCTGAATAGTGTTCCGAAAGCTCACTCCTTGTTCAATTCTTCTAAAAACTATATCTCCACTGTGCTCGAAATATATTAAGGAGCTCAAATTGCGTAGGCCTATTTGTGAAATGTATGGTCAAAAAACGATGTCTCTTAGGAAGGCGCAAAAAGAATCAGAGGAGCAAAACTTTGGCCAACTTCGTCCTGTTACACAAGAATTGCATCGGACATCTTACTCATGTGGGTTGGAAACTTACTGAATCGGTTACTTCATGGAGATCCATGCCAAAAAGTGGGAAAGTCATAGGTAGATGCCATGGGAGGCTCTCATATTATGACTGAAGATTACCTTCACTCGAGGAGAGGTTAATTACTTGACAGATGGGTTCTGCGGGTGGTCGCTCCATAGAGGGCACCCCATGCAATACACAGAGATCCAAAATCCCTTCCATTGAATTTTGCGATGAGCGGGATTGAAAACAAAAGTGTACGTGCTCTCCAAATGCCCTTAAAGAGAAAAAGAGGAAAAACAGTCTTCAGCGCTCCATATGGGATCCTTCATTTGCCAAAAAAAATAATCGAAGCTGTATCGGGCGGGAAGCCAGAGAAAGCAGCGAGACAGTATGCAAACGAGTAAGGCAGCTTTCAGACTTTGCGAAGGTAGCGCTTCGGTTGCGCGATCGACGCGGTCACGCCGTTGAAAGCATGCGCATCGATTGCGTCGAATGACCGAAGCGCTGCCGTCGCGAAGTCTGACGCTGGCTGAAAGGCAAAGGAGACGTCTATCAATGTACCAATGTTGGTGTCACTTGAACGAGCAACATGAGGCCTCAGACCTGCTATCTTGTCACTTTCTGACGTAAAAGTTTATAAAGTGCTATTCCCTGTAGTTTACTCTACCTGTCCAAACGAAGAGTTTGAGTGATTATAAGTGATCGTGGGCTTCCCCTTGAAAGGTTGCGAGTGCAAATGTTCTCCTTACTCTCTGACGTGAAACTTGTACAAACCTCAAACTTTGTTGTTCGTAGAAGTCCACACTACCTCTTCTCCAAGAGCTTACAATTAGATAATCATAAGTGATCACGGATTCTGCCTCTGAGCACTTAAACCAACTTCAAGCCGGCCCAGAGAGCGCAGCTCCTTGCTCATGCACCTCACAACCTCTCCGCCTCTCTAAGAGCCCGGATTAAGCGCGATATGATGTTTTCAAAACCTATCATTTGGGTCAGCTTGACATTCCCTTTTGATGAACTCAAGATCGACAGCAATAAAGGAAAGAATGGGAAACCAGGTGCAATATGTTCCATAGCGGGAATTCGTCTATCATATAGCAAAGAACACATTTCGAAAATATCCACCTTTACGCAAAATTTGATGTAAGAAGAAAATACCACCTTTGCTTACGGGTCACACCGATACAGTGCTTAACAAAAGTATGCGGTATCCTGAATTCTGACAATAAAGCAACTTCTTCGACATAGGCAGATTGGCATCTTTAGTATTCAGTCCCTAAAATGTGGAAACCATAGTGCACTCAACTCAACAGCATTTCGCGAGAAAATTTATATTCCTTATCTGTAAAGTATCTTTCTTAATACCAAACGTAAGCTGTCACCCGAGAAAAAGTAGAGATGATTCTGAGACTAGAAGCTGGCAGGTCTTACCACTTCAATCATTTTATCCGACAGGTTTCTGGAAGAGGTTTTCTTCTGCTGTCTTACTTTAAACCTAGCAAGGAGCAAATTTTGCTTTGAGGTCATAAATTGCATTGTGCATGGTAGAAACTGTAATGATAGAAACGCTGCCTGACCAATCCAGCACTTCAGTACAGTGCTAAGGAATCTTGTCCTCGCCGAAAGAAAGACCATGTTTTAATGTCGTCAAGCATGTTTACCGCATTGCCCACTTCACAAGAAATGGAGCAGCGGGCGAAATTAGCCATCCATCCCTATTAGGTTGGAAGGAAAAAGTTTGCTTGAAAGCCTACAGTTTTTGATTCTTGATGCTCGAACATGACGTAACATGCCATGCTTGTAGAACATTCTAAGAGCTTTCCTGCAAGAGGTGTGTGAGGGCGCCTGCTCTTTCCTGGGTCTAATTACGATGTCAGTTTCACAGGAGCATCTTCGGGTCATCATCATGTATCGGTGGCCCGCAGCACTGGAGCCACGGCAGCTGTCCGCAACATCAGCAGTGCATTGGCGGAGGACACCACTACCATCATGACTGTCCATCTTTGGTTCGCTCGCTTCGCGAAAGGAGACACGACCCTCGAAGACAAACCTTGTTGGGACGGCCCCACGAAGACTCCACCACTCTCGAAGCAGTCATGGAGGATCCGGACGATAGCACTCGAAGTCTTGCGATAAGACTCGGATGTACCTATGTACCTCTGTCTCTGTCAGGCAGAAGATCCATTCTAGCAGTCCAAACAGGGCATGTATTCCGGTAAGGTACTCCTGTGCTGCTCCTGGGACGGAAGGGGGATGCTGCAGAACGGGCTGCCTTGTAAGAACAGACGGTCACCGCTACCATTTGTGTCGCTCAGCTCCTGAAACCGGTGGAAATTGTTGGAGAAAAATGACCGAGACTAGCTTCGGGGCACCTCGTTCGTAGTACGCGAGACCCCATACCTGCTATGTAGACCTATATTTGAGGAGCAAGGCTGGGAGACCAGTCCCCGCTTATCACATTCTCCTGACGTAGTCCCCTAGGACTGCTACCTGCTCCGCCTCCTTAAGGCTTTCTTAGCTAAGAAAACTTTCAGCAACTTTGATGACATCAGTCGAGAGGCCGCTGACTTACTCTACTCGCAGCCTTCTCAGTTCTGGGAGGAGGGGAATGCTTACTTTTCCATTAGGTGGAACACGTGGGTAACTGTGACGAGTATATTGTTGACTAATTCCCATTGTATGTTGAGTTAGAAAATAAAAAAGAAAAAAGTCACAACAGTGACAAGAGTTTCCTTCCAACCCTATATTTCCGACTGCCTATGCTTCATGACGAGGAAGCAGCTCCGTTTGTCCGCTTCTTTTCGGAGCCATAGCAACCCTTGTCTCACAAATTCCTTTATCACATCTCCCAGTAGTGGATATCATCCAGTGCAAAGAAAAGAATACGAAAAACAACAAAAACACGGACGAAAAACTCTTGACAAAAAAATTGGAAAACTGAGAGCCCGAATTTAGGCTTACGGTAGCGTGCACCTTTTAGTGCATCTCGAGCTTTTGCACCACGAAAATTGCATCACTCGTGATTTTTACGCGTTTTACCTTGCGAGATGGGTTGGAGTTGACTGTATGTGCTCCTAATGAATAAAATGTAATGAAGGAGAGCAGAATCATTCATGGGCACGAGCGCGGTCAGCAAAAAGGACATGCAATTCCGATTAATGCCCGCCGCCCCAACAAAGAACAACTGAGCGGCTCTCCGTCAGAGGGCATCTAGCAAGTGGGCGGTCCAACTGGGCGGGCGTTAGAACTAGAACTTTCAGCGGCTGTAGCTCGCTCCTCGCTCGCTGTGGAGTCGCGAGAGTGGGATACTCTCGCTTGGGGGCTGTACTATTAGGGTGTCCACAAAGTTCGTTGGCCATTCGTTTTTTCAGAGCTGGTAAAGATATCTCACCAAGTTGAACTTACCGGTCCATGATATAATCTCCATGCATACCCACTACCTTTCGCCAACGATCGGGTAGAGAGGCAACTCCATCCTCTCAGAAGCCGGCCAGCCGCGACTCGCCCAAGTCCTCGATCACGTCCTCGAGGTCGCGCTCGTTCTTCAGCTGTTTTCCGTCCAGGAAGTTTCGCATGGACCGGAAGATGTGGTAATCGCATGGACTGATGTCCGGGCTATACGGTGGATGCGTGATCGTCTTGATGCCCAGCCTGTCCAGGACGGCCTGAGTATCTCTCGCTTTGTGGGGGCGCGCGTTGTCCCAGAGCAACCACGGATTTGCAAGTTTCTGGGACAAGGCGGCAGCTTTCACCTTGACCTCCTGCAATTCTTTAGAGAGGGTCTCTGCCGTCACTGTGGCATTGTTGGGTAGGATGCTGTAGTGGACGACGCCGTGGCGAGAGAACCAGAAACCTCGGCATATCTTCGATGCCATAGTTTTCATTGGTGAAGCGAGTCCACCATTTTGACATCCAGTTCTTAGAAGGGGTGTTATCACCAAACTGCTGACGCATCCTGGTCGTGGCCTGACGTCTGGAGATGTCCAGGTTGTAGTAGTCCAGCAAACATCGGCGGTGGTGGTGACTATCACTCATCTTCACTGCTTTATTGTGGGAAGAGCAGGAAAGGAAATTTAGAGCTAGCTAGCTCAGAAGATAGCCCATCGCGAGTACTTTCAGTATTGCGAAATCATTATGCAAAATCACAACGCGTTGCGTAACGCGACGCTGTTTACAAATGGCCAACGAACTTTGTGGACACCCTAATACTTGTACAAGGAAGGACGACCATGTACTACTTGAGCGCGGAGGCTGTCTTTGAAGGCACGGTTCGCGATCAGGTATCGAAGTTGAAAATATGGCGTCAGGAGGTTAGAGTGGTCCGCGACGAACAACCTTGTACCGGTTTCGCGGCAAAAAATTCTATGGGAGGGCGCTGTAGCGCAATATAGGTTCAGTGGCTCCTTTTTTCCAGTGACTCCGCCTCCAGACTCCGCCCCTAATGACCGACTTCCAGTGAAAAATGAGATTGCAGGACGAAAAAGCATGATAATCGCCACTTGTACGATCGTAGAAATCTTATCGGTGAATCAGCCGTGCATATGAGGGCGTAGTTTTGGAGATAGAGTTGATTGGGCACGTACAAACTGGGATCGAAATGGGGTTCTATCTAGGGCAGGTGGCATGTTTTTGTGCTTTTTTTGTTCACAGTCGAGTTACTCAACCCCTTGTCGTCTATATGGAACCCCCTAATCCACCATCTGAGATGGCGAGTAATCGCGGGTTCTTGCTTTGAAGTAGAGTGTGTGCATCAACCAAGTAGTCCATCAATGACAGAAGCTTCACTTTCACAATGATTTGATGTTCCTAGACGGACGCTGCAACACGGTGGGCGCTACTGATATAGTCGCACCCCTAGGTTATCGAGCGACGGCTTAAGCCGTGTATGGGTGTTTTTCCCAGTCCTCGATTCCAAACAATTAATTCAATCTCTTTGAATGATTGTATTATATTGTCCGGAATCATCACATAGCAATCCAACATCACAGTGATTACGGCCCCCTGTTCATTATTTTGTTCCGTCTACAACGTTGAGCGATCCACTTCTTTTTTTGTAATGGTTTTTAAGGTGTGTTGGTGAGAGCAAACAAAGTTTCCGCGTGCAACTCAGAACAGTCTAACGTAGCTTCTGAAGAGCGCGCGACTTCGCCTTGCTCCAAGTTTTTTTTGCTGCTGTACTTCTGTTACAAACAGAAGCACTTCATCAAAACCATTCGAAAATTCGCGAAGATGGAGCAATATTATCTAAACACGCGCTAATACAGTTTAATGACTGCTGGTAACCTGTCGAGGGAGGTTCCAGTGCTTAACTGCCCCGGCAATTCTTCATCTTCAAAGTAGATTTCAAAGTACCCACATACTTTTGTTACGCACTGTTGATTGATGATCACTCACTGCCCAGGCAGAGCCCCGATCAGTTGAACCTTCCTTCTCTACTGGGTAGGGCGATCCCTAGCGGTCACCATTTTGGCGACCCGAATGTGAAGGTAGGGCAGAACATTGTCGTTTTTCTCATTGGCTCGACCTACTTTTATTCGCCCCTCCCGCCGCTCTACTCAGCCAAATCAGTAGAAGACCAAGGATATGGGCAGGACATCATTGTCAACGTGAAATCAGCTGCGATCATTGCGGCGACTATATCGGTCACAACACCGCTTGTGCGGGGATTTCGTCCAATCACATCCCTTGAGCGCCATCCATGGCGCTCGTACAACTGCACTTGCTAGGGGGTTTTATTTGGCATTTGCGACCATTTCTCTCCGTTTCTTCTCCACCAATTTCTTGCCATACCTACGCTAGCTACCTACGCGATTGCTCAGTAGTACTTGCGGAAAGGGCTGGTACCACGGGTAGAGGGTAAATGGCGTTCCAAAGCGTAGATGACTCTACACAAGACATGATCAGGACTTGATTCGAAAACCAGAACGTGTAGCTGCTCGAACTGTACAAGAGAAATACAATAGGCCTTATCTATTGCCTTGAAATATCTCATTATGGCGCTCGAGTTCTCTCGTGTTAAACGCTGAATAGCGTCGCATCAGTTGAACAAACATGTGACGAACAAGGGTCTAGGTAAGGCTGTATCAAGCGTTACCACTGAATTTGGTTCTAGCCAAAACCATGGGGTGGCCACCGTCCAGCCGTGCTTCCACTTTCCTCGTTGCAATTTGTGGAAGGATAAACAGCATTAGTCCTAGATTGTAAACTGGTTGGCTTCCGTGAGCTACTTTGAGAAATGCATCCAGGAAGAGTATTCTCTTCTGCGCTGGGTGGTTTATGTTCGCTTGTTATGGAACTTACAAAGCGAATGGTTTGAATAACCAAAGGAATGTTTTGAATATTCCCATCGAAACTTTGAATGGAAGAACCCTAAGGTTAACCCCCATAGAGCCTCGAATGTGAAATTTAACCGGAAACATAAAATGCCAAAGATTAGTGCCTACCGGGAAACCCTCGAAGGACGGCAGATACCGCCATTTTTACGCGCCGCTTTACCCGATTCCTCAGATGCATTATTCTGCAAACTTCACTCGAATACCCTGCCCCCGAGCTGTCTGCCTGCGATAACAGTTAATAAAAATAAATATCCATTGAAACATTGACTTGAATAGAGATGCTGAATGTCCAAAGTCTTGAGTTTCTTGGCTTGTAGCACTGTCAAATCCGTGCTTCGGCCGCCCAACCAGATAAGCCGCTGTTTGGGCCTCGTTGTAATTTGATCTCGCTATATTGAAGTCATACCGCATTGACGATATATATAGGCAAAACTCAGTCATTAGAGGCCAGCCCTGCGCAAAGATTTTTGCTTCGCTCCGTATAAGAGCTTCAACTCTAATTTTCGAAATTCTTCCGAATTTACGGCCCAGCAGGGCAAGTAGATCAAGTACATCAAGTATACGACGTACTCGATCTAGTATGGATTTGGTCATATCTGCCCTCTCTGAACATATTACCCATCCGACAATTCAAAGTTTTAGCGAGAAATTCATGGGAGATTTCGACCCCCTGAACACGAATATCACATCCTTCGACGAAAAAACGCTCGTCTGGCCAAATTGCGATTCTGGGCAAAACTTTGAATTGTCGGATGGGTAATATGTTCAGAGAGGGCAGATATGACCAAATCCATACTAGATCGAGTACGTCGTATACTTGATGTACTTGATCTACTTGCCCTGCTGGGCCGTAAATTCGGAAGAATTTCGAAAATTAGAGTTGAAGCTCTTATACGGAGCGAAGCAAAAATTTTCGCGCCAACCGGATGCAAACCCGCATGCGTTTGACTTGAAAGCGAGACCATTACCACGAGGCCACGGTGGCACTGCCGAAGCATCGATCAGCAGCGCTTACGAGCAACTCAAACTTTGACCACCCAGATCTCGTCTGGGAGGTCCCCGTAGCACTTTTAATCTGCATATTCGTAATCAGCATTCGAGGCTCTATCGATGTACCTAGGTCTCCATTCAAAGTTCCATGGGAAGTCCCTTGTTAGGAGGGAATCTAGTCTATTTCAGTTCTCCATTGAGTGGAGAACCCATTTATGCAGTTCAGTGCAAGCGTGGAAAGCGCTGGAGATTCAGGCGACCATTGCAATCAAATGGGTCGCGTAGGTCGTACGACTAATTTACGATTACCGCGGACTTTACGTTAGAAAATGTAAAACAAACTATGATGTGGTAACAGTGACAGAACTGAAGTGCAAGAGTCGTGAATTATATTACCGTATCTCGGAGTCCTGCTAGGACATTGTGGATTAGCGTGGTATCTCGTTGTTTGCTTCGGTGATGGCAGGGAGTGGGCAAAATCTGAAGAGCATTCAAATATTGGTATAGACACAGAAGGAACACTATCGTTCAAAAGCGGAGTCCACGCCAATAGTGTGGGCAAAGACATTGTTGGAGACACTCGACCATCACATGTTAGCAGTTGGTTCCCCTCCCCCCCTACCTTGCAATAGCATAAAAAGAAGGGACGTGCTGACGTTAATGGGTCAAGAAAATCACCGAGTGAGGGCCCCCTTACGAGATGCTAAAGGGAACATAGACATCCAGCGAAGCAGATCGCCTTCCTGAACGAATCTGCTACCTACTTATCGGATACAAAATTATGGAACACATAGGCCTTGAGGTGGCGCTCCCGTGAACGAGCAGCTTGATTTTTTTAACACTGAGTGCCGCGACTTATTGCTTGTTTTTTCATCAAGTAGACCCTACCCCTACTCGGTGGAGTAAACCCTTACTTGAGGATTGTGCTGCTGCACACCAATCGGAAAGATCAGCAAAGGCAATGATTTTGTCCAGTGATCGCTGGTGGTCCTGAAAGCGGTTTGTTTATAAAAAGTTGATATACAGCTCCAATCGCGCGACTGGACATATACAATGACTTCGGAAGAACAAATAAGAAGTCAGGAGTCATTTTCTCCCAAATAGAATAGAAGGCTGTGTCAGCCTGGTGAGGTTTTCCAATCAAGCATTCGAAATAGACGGTGCATATGCTGGCGGCGTCGCTTGCAATTTCTCCACGTCATCGAAACCGGTTGGTCTACGTTTATACTTCGCGACACGGGCTATCCCACGTCCCAGTCCCACGGCTGTAGATGACCGCGCTCTCCCGCTAATCTTTAAATCACTGCAGTCAGCTGAAAGAAGTATTTCTCTGAATACTATTGAAGTAGCAGCAGCAAGTGCAACGAATAGTGCTATCCATTCAATTCACGAAGCATTCACTGCCACTTTCACTCAAGTCACGAAGTAAGGCATCTCATTCAAAAACGTGGAGGCATACAGAGGATTTGCAGGAAAGCGAAAAGAATGAAGAATAGCGCTGTGGGCTCCTGTATTATCTAAAAGCTGTTATTTAGCCAATTATATGTGAAATTAGGTCACCCTAGCCACAAAAGTGCTCAAAAAAATCAAAAAGTGTAGAAACTGCGCCTTATTTGCTCACAGAAGCTAAACTGTTGTTGAGCTTTCCCACATGACCGACATCCCCTACCGTGCAGACGGTGTTTGGCTGAGTTAGGGTGGCTGAAAAAAGTTGAGTGTGATCAGGGGGGTATATATTCGGGCGCATAATGTTTCTTGCAGAAGCACAGACGCAAAACCGATCCGATGGCTGCAGCAGCGATTTTCTCCGCCTGAGACGTCATTCACGACTCTGGGAACGATCTAGGCGCTTAACAAAATATAGGTGATCTTGTACTCCGCGACGGAACTCAGAAGCGTGGGCTCTGAATGAATGCCGATGGAAAGCCGCCCTAATTCTGCCATGAGGAGTTGCATAGGTTTAAAGGTATGACCATCGCAGCGAGGAGTTTCTCGGCTGCGGCTATTAGCAACTGTCTTAAAAGTAACACCGTCGTTAATGGTGTATATTTGCTCCTTGACGTCCAGGTCGACAAATGGTTGGAACCACAAGAAGGCCATACTGCGTATAAGCTAAGATAGAGATGTACATATATGGATAAGGGAAGGCCGATGCGGCTAATCAAACATCTACACTTTAGTTGCGAAACCGGTCGCCATTCATGGAAGACGAAGCAGATGACGGCTCAGGAAACAAGAGCATATGGTGTTATGGAGATGAGAATGCTACGATGGAACCTGGGACATACACGACTCGACCGGATCCGAAAAAAAAACAGTCCGAGACAAGATGAAGGTCTCCCCTGTCTCGTCTCCGCTGGTATGGTCACGTTCAGTGAAGACCTACAGTCCCCTGATAAGATTACTTTGTCGGGGAGCGTCCATAATTCCGCGGTGGAAAGACATTCTGAACTATGACGGGTCTGCTGCTGGCCTGTTTCCAGCCGATGCTATTTACAGGAACTGTTGGGAAGCATTGGTCAAAGGGGCTTACTGACAACAGTTGGACAAGAGCGCTAAGAAGAAAGAGAAAAGACCTGATATGAACGCCGCTCTTCCTAAATTTTAATCACACGCTGTTAACTTCGTGGAGTCATTCGCTCGAAGAAATCGCTATGGCATCGGGCTGTGGCCTCTGGGCTTAGACTACACCCTACAGAATAGAGCAGCCGAAACGCAGGTGCAGATAGTGAAACCCACCGCCGGAAGCGGCTTTGCAAATGGCACGGAATCGGAGCACAAGAGTACTAGTCACGCCCTACGCGTCGTGGCAAAATGGATCTTCTGCGCCGCTCTCCCCAAACGCGAGTCAGATTGAACAACCCCGGGAACTATCGATCTGTATGCATAGGAGTCACGATTTACTTGCAATAATACCTGCACCTTGTCCGCTGCTTCATTTTCGAATTCCAGTGCTGCCCGA